TGAGCTAGCAGAACTGTTGCTATGACAACAACTCACGGATCAGCTTTGAAGAACGAAACGATCCTGGATCATGTCAAATCATCAATATCCAAATCCAGCTAACTGAGTAATCCATGTACGAAGAACGGACCCCTGCCCTCAATCTGGCAATCTGCGCTTGCGTTTGTTTTGATCCAGTAGTGCAATACCTAGTCCAACCACTGGGTGTCAAAGCAGCTATCGGTTTCCTCAAACGGTTTGAGTTGCCTTAGCTTATTGGGTTTTACAGTACTCAGTTGTTTTGAGTTCTCTTCATTTATCAAGTTTTACTGTGCTCAAATTGCTTCATTTACTCAAATGGATTAAAGGGCCATGACACCCCCCACTTTCGGTTAAAGTCTACTTCAGAATTTTTTCAAAACATGCATGATTAATGGGTGTGGAGCTCCGCGAGCATCGGGCAGGAGTGGGCGTGGCCAGCAGGGGAGAACGTGAGCGAACGAAGCTAGCTCACAAAATGAGACAAACCGTGAGGAGACGCATGAGTTTATAGTTTACAAAGTTAAAATGCAAAGAAATGAACTGTGATTTAATGCCCTGCTACATTTGTTATTCGTAATTTCATATACACATAACCACAATTTATATCGTTATAAAGATAAGTGTGTTTATGTAAACCCTATAAATGAGGACTTCTCCCTCAATCCCTGTATCCAGCAGACTCAGTGCAGTTTTACTCAGTTTTAACCATTAGCCCTGCTGGTAATCTGGAGGATTTAGGCAAACACAGCAGCACGGCGTTGTGTCTGAATGTGAACGAACTCCTGATAAAAGACAGCGTCCGCCATTCTCTAATTCTCGTGCTGCTCTCCCGACAAAAATGCTAGCAGCACACACACAGCTTTGCTGTATGATCGGCCCTGACAAGATCGCGGGGGAAAACATGCAACAAACCCCGTGGATCATGGAAACAAACGCATATGAGCATTCATGATTGGCTAAATACTGTGTGCCCGTGCCGTGGGTCCTTGACGTGTCTCACAGCTTGGGCTTGACTCTGGCAGGTCTGGCAGGTCTCATGAATAATTAAGCAGCCGGCTCTTCTCATAGGATAAGAAAACTCCGCTATGAATAATAATGAGAAACTGACGCGTCATCATTGCACTTGCAGTACTGTGCTACGTCGCCGATTTTGATCCTGCCCCAAAAATCATTTTAAACCCGGAAGCTGAAATTAGCTGACAAAAGCTCAAAATTATCCAGTTTTCCCCACAATTAAAGCTGACAGGTGCTAACATTGTCTTAACTGATGCTCAACACACACACATCTGTTAATATAAAAAAAAAAGTTCTCCAGGGTGTCCTGAACCTTTAAGTTTACAGAACTCATTAGGATTAGTTTTTGAACTTAAATGGTTTGTTGCAATCGGTTTCCTCAAATAGTTTGAGTTTCCTTAACTTTTTAGGTTTTACAGTGTAGAGAAGTTACATTAGTGTGCGGCACGGGGGATAGCACTTTCACCGCACAGCAAGAAGGTCTCTGGTTTAAGCCCTGGATGGGAGAGGGGGTTGTCGCGAACTAAAGAGGGGGGGTGGGGGTGGTTCTATCCAAGGGTAAAAAGGGCAAGTGCACTGCACAGGTTGAGCCCTATGTGTGCACTTGCCTGGCTCCAGTTTCCCCCACAGTCCAAACACATGTGCTATAGGTGAATTGAATAAGCTAAATTGGTCGTAGAGTATGTTTGGGAATGAGTGTGTAT